TCTTTGTTTCTGTAAGGTACCAGCAAGGTTACTACAGTTTAGCCAAGGTGGTCCAGGGCGGCGCCTTCGCACTCGTCTTTTTTTTTTAAATAGTGATGTCAGATGTAGGCGACACTACCCAAGGGAGAGGGGTCGTTGTGAGCCCCACTTAAAATACAACGCAGACACATTCAGAAAAAAAATATTCATTCATAGAAAAATTGCAGTGTAAAAGTCAGCATACGGAACTATTTTCACTGCTGTTAAAATTCCCTAATGTATGTAGTTAGTTTCTCTGTGGGTTGGCATCTCTTCATTCCTCATGTAAAAAACTGAAGCAAAGACAAATTATAGACGATAACGGTTGTACTTGTTATACACGGTAATTCCTTTCAACGTGGGCCATACCAACAGTTTTATTTTGAAGACTACGCCTCCGGATATCAGGGTACCGGTATAACATTTGCATGATCCTGCCATCTCATGGAGGATTATGAGATTACATAGTGTCCACTGCTAGCACGTGCAAATACGCATGCGTCATAATGGCCTTTATCTAGTACTGATTAACATAAAAATTGCGGTCTTTCGTATTTATAAGGATGTATTATTACTGGAGCGATCAAATTTTGGGTCCTTTTTGGTGACCAGTGTTTCTAAAAATAATTCTGGTGACAGAAATCTATTGCCTTCTGACGTTACTTAATACATCTTTGTGAAATTAAATTTTTACTTGATATAACCACAATATTCCAAGGGAATCTAATCCTTTGGCATCATGCAGAACACAATACAAACGGAAATGCTAGTAAGTGATATTAAAAAAAATAGTTATGCTTTTATTTCTGAAACTGATTTACATATTTAAGAAGTGCGCGGTTGCCATTCGCAGGCAAAAGGAAACTGGTAGAATCGTTCCAAATGTAATGTATAGTAAAGTTACCAACAGTCTTGGTGTCCCTGGTTTTCCAGAATGATGAACCGCCAGAGATCACATACTGCGTGGTGGACCAGACTGGGACCCTGTCCCTGCAGGCCCTCACCCCTACGCAGCCAATGCCGGCAGAGGAGGAACTTAATGCCAAGTTCGCCGAGCTCGTGGTAAGTAGCCTACTACTGGTTTTGTGTTGGTTATTAACTATCCGTTTATCGGCAGCAGAAATTAATGGAAAAAGATACGAATGGTTCGAATCTGTTTTGCATAAATTATAGTGTGTTTCAAAGCAGTAACATCCTCATTCAAACATACGTTTTCGGTCCTGCAGTTTGTAGGCATTCTGTTGTTGGCAACAGTGAAGATTGCATGGTTTGAGGTTTTTACGGTGGTAGTGCGAAGATGGCTGTCTTCTGGGTTGTAGTGCCACATAGTTTGGTACAGGTTCACCAACGTTGCAGATGTTCTTGCTGTCTGCATCATAAGGGCGATGAGTGGAGATGTTTTACTGCACAAAGAAATATGGGAGATTATATGGCTTAAGGTGACACAGCTGGGTTAAATGATGCGTCTGCGTTACTGGGAAATATATTTCTGGAATGAAATTATACTCACGCCGTTAGGTTGGTCATGTTTCAGCTCCAGTTAAAGATGGCGCGTTCTGAGAGAGTGGTTTACAAGCTGTGTGTGCAAAAGTATGTTTTCTGGCATTTGTTGTACGGTTTTGGCATTGGCAGCCTAAAATCTGTCATAAGTTGATTTAAACTGATATCCAAGGAAGACTGTGGGGGTGATTCGTAATTAATACTAATTGCTTTGATCAGTGTTTTTTTTGCGGTTATGGAGAACAACTGCAGCCGACTTCAGGTTAAGTGACATAGCAGGTCTGTGTGTGAACTCTGTACATAGCTAGCATACTGCATGGTCTTTACGTTGTCATTAGATATGTTTACTTGCTAATGGTCGATTTAGTATCTTCAGACCTCATTGTAAAGGAAATTAACTTACATATTTTATAACTTTATTATTTGAATATGTTTATACTTTATTAATATATATGTTGCTCTGTTTTCTGTGTAGCTCACCTGTCCAGTTTCTGCTAGATTATTTTTTCTTCGTATCATGTTAAATGAACACTAAGTTAAAGATATGTATCAAGTGAAACTTACAGACAGCATGTTTTATGACCTGTATAATTTTTTACAGTGAGCTTTTCGTATTTCAGACAAACATGAGAGTTGTTTATTTGAGTATTGTCTAAAGTGCACACACACTCCAGCTTTTGTATTTCATAAAATTCAATTAAGGGATGTGTTGTGAAGTTAATCATGCTGATGGAGTTGAAATATGCTTAGGAATGTTTAATTCAGCATGGTTGCTGTGTCATACTCTAGTTTACTTGTCTACCCATTCATCAGCAGGTTAATTAAAAACTGTCCCAGTTTCTTACATTGGTTCATTCCAAAGATATGTAATACTGTAGGAGTTTAGGTTTTGTTCACATTGCAGTGCAACAAGAGCAGAAAGGAAATGATGAATGGGATTCCTCCACACCGCTGAATACACCAACAAAAAATTATCAAATATGTGTAACTACAGCTTTTGCGATTGAGTAGGGTTAAATGTTGAAACATGTCCAACACTGACAAACATTGTAGTTGCCATTCTCAGGGTGAATCTGTGGTGGTTGGGCATGTTTGAAAGGTTCATATGGCGCAGACAGTAGGTGGTAAGGAGTAATGATGGTGCTGATTGGTGGACTCTGCCTGGGTGTTTTTGGGTATTATTTCTCTGCCGAATGTACTGTGACTGCTACAGTGTTGCATGAATTCCTAATGCTTGTTTTGGAAGAATTTCTGCAATGAAGTAACAGACTTCTTAAGAAATAGATTGGCAGGGGCGGAACTATCACTTGGCCACCTCATGTGCCTGACCTCACTTCTCTTGATTTCTTTCTTGTGAGTATATTAAGGATGCTGTGTATGTACCACCATTGGGTGCCACTTTACTAGAACTTGCCAGGGTAAGAGGTGTAGTGCCTACATTTACCGTCAACTTGCTTAACAACGTGTGGACTTCAATTGAATACAGTTATGTTATATGCCAAGTCACTCATAGTACCCCATTGAACATCTGTAAAATGTAGGTCACAAAAACTTGATAATATTACCTACTCGGATGTGTTTAGATTTCATTTCTGTGCCTTTTAGATAATGAGTGATGTGACTGTAAAATGGTATACATTTTATGTGTACGTCCTGTATATTCATATCATTATAATCTCAGAAGAGGAGTATGAATGCTTTGTTTTTCTTTTGATGTGGTAATTAGAACTTTACCCCGAATATCACTCTTAATTTTGTGCAAGAAATTTATCCATGCAACTGAGTTTCTCCAGGAAAACCATATTAAATTCAAGGAAAGACAAAGAAGGCTGTCTTTGGGCTGATGTACCATGAAGCATAATGGAAGTAAAAGATCCACACATTCAATAACCATGAGCTAGTTGGTGGGCAACAGTCCATATTTCCATTGTGACTGACTTTGTTTTTAAGGGAGAGCCTGTGGCACCAATTGAACAGGAAAACATTTCAGAATCACTGATGGCATTCACCTCTGTTGATGGAGGCAGCAGGGATCTCTGAAACACTGGTAAACTTGTACTAGACTGCACAGTGCTGCAGCTAAGAAGACAGCTGTCTTTTTTTATCGCTGCCGCAAGAACCCCAAAACCCCTGCTGTTTTTAAATTTGCAGTTTAAGAAAATGTATGTAGGATTTGAGGCTTTCATGGCGGTTAGTCTGAAAATGGCTGTCTTCTGGGTTCTTGCATCGTGTAGTCTGGTAGAAGTTTACCGACGTTTAAGAGGTCCTTAATCACCCTGATGATGGAGACAGTAAGGACCTCTACCAGACTACATGGTGCTACAGCCCAGAAGACTGTCTTCTTAAGAAAATGTGTTCTTGAGGTCTGATTCAATGTATCTTGGTGTGTTTACAGGAGGAGTTGGATCTGACTGCTCCGAACAAGGCTGCTATGCTGAGTTTACCATCTGAAAAAAAGTGGCAGATTTACTGCAGTAGGAAAAAGGTAAGTAGTTCAGGAATGTGTGAAACAAAATCTGATTTTTGAAGGAAGGACATTCTTGTGTGGTATTTTTATGGATTGAACTGCAGCAGTCTGTACAAGGATTGTAATTTTAAAAATGCATCACATCTTAAATATGGTCAAGCAGTTTGTTACATGTGACCACAGTCAGTAGCATTAAAATCGGTTTTACAAAATATTCTGTTTTTATGAAAAAGTATGGCTCCGAAGCTTCCAAATAGTTATTCAAAATTATCCGTTATGTTGCGTAGAATATCAGAACAAGTATGGAAGATTCACTGATAGAATTCCACTGTAAGGATGTTTGAGGTCATGTCCCTGATTAATGAAGTTTTGATTGAGCTTCCTAGAGGTTGGGCTGTAAGCAGATGTTTAATGTTGTTTTCATTTCTAAAACCTCAGGTACCAGATTAGTCTGTTTCTTAATAACCTTACCAGTTTCTTGACACATAATTTTCATTCTTTGTTCCTGTTTACAAGTTCATGTTCAGAGACTGACAGTCCTGAGAGCTTCAAAATATATTTTTTTGTCTGCCATGGATGCAGGAATTTTTGTACAACTTAAGAGGACTTCTCAGGTATCTGGGATAGAAAGATGTACGTAGGGTCTTAGGATCATCATAATTAATTCTTGGGCAGTAGAACCTGAAAGACCAACACTTGATAACTATGCTTTCAGCTGCACAGAATTCTGACGTAGCGCCACACATCATACGAGGTGCGATCGGAAAGTTTAAAGACTGAGCCTATAAAAACCCGTACACTTATCTCAGGTATTAAATTCATCCATCACCCTCGAAGTAGTTCCCCTGGGAGTGAACACAACGATCCCAGCGCCGCTGCCAAGCCTGGAAGCATCCCTGGAAATCTTTCTTGGTCAGCCTGTCAAGCACCATCTGCGATTCTGCCTGAATCTCTTCTATCGTCTAAAATCTCCTTCTCTTTAGCTGAATTTTCATCTTTGGGAAGAGGAAGAAGTCACACGACGAATAAGGATGGTGTGGGATGACGGCCATGGTGTCTGAGGCCAAAAACTGCCGAACTTTGAAGGCGGTGTGCGCTGGTGCGTTGTCATGATGCGTCGCATGTGGAGTTATTCCTTTAGAATCAGCTGACAGGTCCCATAGCCTATCCCAACAATGTCGCACAAGTCGTTGATGGTACGACGTCGATCTTCGTAACATTTTCGGGCGTTGTGCTCGAAGATGGTCGTCCAGAACGCTCGTCATCATCGACAGAGGTTCGGCCATTTTTAAAACGTGAATGCCACACAAAAGTTGGTGCACGACCCATTGCGGACTCCCCAAATGCTTGCTTTAGCATTTCATAGGTTTCCGTAGCCGTTTTGGCGAGTCTTTGGCAAAATTTGATGCACACGCCATTCCGAAAGCGCAGGAGGGTCGGTGTAATGCACTACCAAAACGCCCATAACTAAGAAACAAATGCTAATTCGATGATGCCGGCTGGCACACCGATTCACTATGAATGTAGGCCGCACCCCCTAGCGGCAGAAGCTCGTACTACATCCGGTTCGCACTCTATTGACACAGTCTTGAAACTTTCCGATCGCACCTCATAGCAGCAGGGATCTCTGAAACACTGGTAAACTTGTACTAGACTGCACAGTGCTGCAGCTAAGAAGACAGCTGTCTTTTTTTATCGCTGCCGCAAGAACCCCAAAACCCCTGCTGTTTTTAAATTTGCAGTTTAAGAAAATGTATGTAGGATTTGAGGCTTTCATGGCGGTTAGTCTGAAAATGGCTGTCTTCTGGGTTCTTGCATCGTGTAGTCTGGTAGAAGTTTACCGACGTTTAAGAGGTCCTTAATCACCCTGATGATGGAGACAGTAAGGACCTCTACCAGACTACATGGTGCTACAGCCCAGAAGACTGTCTTCTTAAGAAAATGTGTTCTTGAGGTCTGATTCAATGTATCTTGGTGTGTTTACAGGAGGAGTTGGATCTGACTGCTCCGAACAAGGCTGCTATGCTGAGTTTACCATCTGAAAAAAAGTGGCAGATTTACTGCAGTAGGAAAAAGGTAAGTAGTTCAGGAATGTGTGAAACAAAATCTGATTTTTGAAGGAAGGACATTCTTGTGTGGTATTTTTATGGATTGAACTGCAGCAGTCTGTACAAGGATTGTAATTTTAAAAATGCATCACATCTTAAATATGGTCAAGCAGTTTGTTACATGTGACCACAGTCAGTAGCATTAAAATCGGTTTTACAAAATATTCTGTTTTTATGAAAAAGTATGGCTCCGAAGCTTCCAAATAGTTATTCAAAATTATCCGTTATGTTGCGTAGAATATCAGAACAAGTATGGAAGATTCACTGATAGAATTCCACTGTAAGGATGTTTGAGGTCATGTCCCTGATTAATGAAGTTTTGATTGAGCTTCCTAGAGGTTGGGCTGTAAGCAGATGTTTAATGTTGTTTTCATTTCTAAAACCTCAGGTACCAGATTAGTCTGTTTCTTAATAACCTTACCAGTTTCTTGACACATAATTTTCATTCTTTGTTCCTGTTTACAAGTTCATGTTCAGAGACTGACAGTCCTGAGAGCTTCAAAATATATTTTTTTGTCTGCCATGGATGCAGGAATTTTTGTACAACTTAAGAGGACTTCTCAGGTATCTGGGATAGAAAGATGTACGTAGGGTCTTAGGATCATCATAATTAATTCTTGGGCAGTAGAACCTGAAAGACCAACACTTGATAACTATGCTTTCAGCTGCACAGAATTCTGACGTAGCGCCACACATCATACGAGGTGCGATCGGAAAGTTTAAAGACTGAGCCTATAAAAACCCGTACACTTATCTCAGGTATTAAATTCATCCATCACCCTCGAAGTAGTTCCCCTGGGAGTGAACACAACGATCCCAGCGCCGCTGCCAAGCCTGGAAGCATCCCTGGAAATCTTTCTTGGTCAGCCTGTCAAGCACCATCTGCGATTCTGCCTGAATCTCTTCTATCGTCTAAAATCTCCTTCTCTTTAGCTGAATTTTCATCTTTGGGAAGAGGAAGAAGTCACACAGAGCTTAGAAAGGAAGTTGGGGTCGGTTCTTGCAAGATCTTTGAGCTCCTGACAAACGAAAAGTCGATTCTGCTTCTGGTCCTCAGACAGGATGCGTCGCATGTGGAGTTCTTCCTTTAGAATCAGCTGACAGGCCCCATAGCCTATCCCAACAATGTCGCACAAGTCGTTGATGGTACGACGTCGATCTTCGTGAAGGGCCTGCCGAATCTTCGTAACATTTTCGGGCGTTGTGCTCGAAGATGGTCGTCCAGAACGCTCGTCATCATCGACAGAGGTTCGGCCATTTTTAAAACGTGAATGCCACACAAAAGTTGGTGCACGACCCATTGCGGACTCCCCAAATGCTTGCTTTAGCATTTCATAGGTTTCCGTAGCCGTTTTGGCGAGTCTTTGGCAAAATTTGATGCACACGCCATTCCGAAATCGCAGGAGGGTCGGTGAATGTCTCCCTAAGGCCCATCTCAGTGTTTTCTCCTGTCACTCCGTCTCTCAGTTATCAACATAGTATCCATCTAGCAGGCCTTTTACTAAAATTTTCTAAGCACTTTCTGTTTCTGCAGTTCAATCTGCATGTACACCCCAATATAACCTCTTAATGCCAGTGTTTTAACAATTCTTTCTGTCCTTTGTATGTCAATGTAATATCCTAAATCATACACTGAATCTTCCGCAGATAAAAGTATTTTCCCAAGTCCTTTGTTTTCAGACAGTTATAATTTATGTTCTTACCTCAGAGTAGAAGACTTTTGCAATGTTATGGAACAAATTTTGAAATGATTATTGTATGTACCCATATAGTCTTTAGTAAATATACACAGTGGTAATAATTTTGTAAATGAGTAAATCAATCTTATTCTTCTGTTATTATCTTATCTACATCTAATATTATTCTTGTATTCTTATGTAATGTCACTTCTACTTGTTAGAGTTTTTTCCAGAAACTTCTGAATCACATTTCAAGTGGTAACTTTGTCTCTTTATGTTTTGACCAGTGTACATGAGAACTATGAAATTATTAAGTGCTTACCACTATGAATACCCGCTTTTTAGTCACAGATTAACCACATTATTCCCTTATATGTAGCCATCCATGAACAAATTGCTGTTTTGGAGCCCTAATAATCATCACAAAAGCTTGAATTATCAGTTTTGACAATCTTTTTCCCTCTTTGAGATGCAGTTAGGGCTCAGCCATGTGGATGCTAATACGGTGTGGGTCTGAATCTTAAAGTAATTGTCTGTGATTGTGTTTAACCCCGATACCATCACACAAGTCCATTTAAATGCTCTTTAGTATGGGACATCGGTCATATCGCAAACTACTTCATCGTTTCAGCATATTGTAATGTTATCTTCTGTAGGATTTGAGGTTTTCACGGCGGTGAGTCTGAAGATTGCTGTCTTCTAGGTTGGTGTGCCATGTAGTCTGGTAGAAGTTCACTTATGTTTCAGAGGCACTTGCTGCCTGTATCATCAGGGTCATTGGTGTCATTAGTCTGATGATGAAGGCAGCAAGCACATCTGAAACATTGATAAACTTGTACCAAACTACATGCTACCTATAAGACAGTCATCTTAAATCAAATTTAATTAAAGAATGGTCTCAATTGAATTATTGTAATATAGTATTTTATCCATCCCATGACTTTCATGTGGCTGTGAAATGTGTATGTTTAAACAAAAGAATGAGACAAGACTGATGATATCAGAGCTAAATGAATTACAACTTATTAGACCATAGAAGAAATGAACATTTGGGGGAGGGGGCACATCAGAAAGTTACTTTCATAAATGTACTGTAGAGCAGTGGTCCCCAACCTTCTTATGCCTACGGGCACATTTGAGAGTTTATGAGATCGTGGCAGGCACCAACCAATTAACAAAGCCAAATTTTCTTTTCTCTGGACAAATAAGATATGTTCACCAAATATTATGCAAAACAACACGACGTTTAATGATATAAGAAACCATGCAATCAAAATACGTAATTTTATAACTACAATTATTATTACTCAAGGGGGAAGTTAATGTGATGTTTGGCACTGCATTTCATCACCACTTTTTAAATTTGGGAGTGTAGGATGATGTTGCTTCTCGCAAACAATCGTCAAGATGGGCCTCAGTAAGTCGAGATCTGTGCTTAGATTTTATAATGTTCATGGTTGAACGGCCTTCATTATTCATTATGACCACTTTCCGTAACAACGCGGGTACCCAAAAAGAAGCCTTGGCGGGCACTGCGTTGGGGACCACTGCTCTAGACTATCGTCTGTGTTTGAACATCGGGCATGTCATGAATGAGGAGGGCAGAGGTTTACATGGTATTCAGTATGTAGCAGTAGCTTACTTCAGACCCCCACAATAGCTGTTTCAAAATGGTGCTAGCATTGTGGGAGAGGTTTTATTAGTGACTTGTTTCTCCTTCCCAAATTCATTGGGAAGTAAAAATTCATCAGGGAGTTGTCACTGTGTAAAGTATGAATGACAAGACGTCCTGGGAAGTTGTCAGTCACTGAAGCCTTGAGTTAGAAACTGATCATTTGAGTGTCGCAGATTCTGCATGGTCAGTCAGGCCATTATCGTCCACGACACAGACCTGGTATGGCACCGCATGAGTACTGTTGGTATAATCTCGCTGACCATTGGTTCAAACTGAATTTTGAGGTCATGGAAGCAATGAGGGCATGACCCTAGCCTGAGGGCACCCATTTCTTTAAGACAGCATCAACAAACTGGTGTACCAGTGAGATATGATTCTCACTATGCAAAGTGATTATGTGGAAAAATGAGACTCTAGTGTCGACCAAAACTGGGTGTGAAGTACGTTGGTTTGATGTTACACCTGTGTATAATAAGTTCATGGAATTTGCTTTCTTACTTTAGAAGAACTCGACATGGATCAAATTAAAAAAACAAAAACAAAACTGGTTACTTCATCATAGAAGGTGAAGAACATTAATTGACTAATTCCATGGAACAGAGTAGTTATCGAGAAGCTGACAGTCATTAAGTCAAATTCTCCACCATTTTGAGTTTACAACAGTCTGCCACTGGCCCCTGTTATGAGTCACATCGTCCCTGTCCACATCCTCACAGTTCCACTTTCCTTACATTCATTTTAATATTATCATCCCACCTGTTCCTTGGCAATCGAATTTGTATGTTCCTTTAAGGATTTAGGATGAATTCTTAGGCACCAAAACAATAAATTAACTCCAAACCCATCAGAGAGGACAACCAATAAAGAGACTGACAAACATTTTCAATCTTGAGACCAAAGGAGATGATATGTGATATGATTGTGCAGCTTTTGTAGTGCATGGATACATCTCTTTCAGTAGTCAGAATTTTTATTTTCATAGAACTGATAATATTTAATATTAAAACCATGAATAATAATTTTCAGGATCAAGATGGTGAAACAGACTTGTCCCACTCGCCTGAGCTCTACATTGAACGAGTGCAGGCCTTGTCAATGGTAAGTCGGCTATAATCTGATAACGGCACGCGAAGTTGATGAAAATTACTGCTGTCTTCTTGCGACACAAATTTATGATGGTGTTTACTCTTAAAAAATGGCATGTCCAATTTATTATTGTGGCTAATTACATACAAACAATGATGTGGCAGAAATTGAGATTTAACAAAGTCAAAAAAGTAAACATTAAACATGACACACTTACGTAATGTCACATTTCAGTCTTGCATTCAACGTATGTCTCATTACTTACAAGCAGCACAGATAGAATATTTTTGTCATGCTGAAATTGTGGGGAAAGGAAGGGAAATTTTTTTAGTAAAATAATTGTACCAACTTAACAGTATGATTTGTGTTCAGTTGTTATGCATAACAATGGGATCAGAACATTAAAAGAACAATTATACAATTATAAAATACAAGTCCACGGTGGTCTAGCGGTTAGAACGCTGGCCTTGTAATCCTGTGGTCTCGGGTTCGATTCCCAGCGGTGCCCGAATTTATAACTTGTGTTGGGCAAGGCCGTGGTCTAGGCAACACGGAGTTTTCCTCCGTGGCATCCCAACAATTACTCCATTCACACACAGAAGAAGGCAATGGCAAACCACTTCTGGATCATCTGCCAAGAACGTATATGAACAGGTCCCAGTCCGAGAAAAGGATGGAAGGATCCTGTTCATATGGACCTGTCGTCAGACAGAACACTCAAATAATAAATAAAATACAAGTAATCAGTGAATTACCTTTGAAAATTGACTAGGTACATAAGTGTATGGGAAAAGAAAATAGTAATTCTGCCATTATGTCTGTTACAACAATAGAAACTAATTTTATGGACCAGCAAGTTTTGTCCAACAAGACATAATATTTATATCCAAGTAGCTAGTGGTTTGAATACCAATCGATGTTCATAGTAATTCTAATATATAATCTCAGAAATTGATAGAATGTTTTAAAAATAATCAAAAAATTCGACAGGTTTAGGGTATATTGTTAAGACACTTTTCAAAGACTGGATTGACACACTTCTCATTGTTAAAAGGTTTCAACAATATTTGTTATGTAAGACTTTATTAACATTTATCAGGTTAGCTCAGTATAGTGACTGGCTACAGACTGGATGAACTGGTCTTGATCCCTGATGGGGGCAGAGGATTTTTCCTCTAGCCTTTGCGTCCAGGGCGGATCTTAGAACCCATAAAAATGTAAGACGTACGAGTCAAGTTTTATTTCCACCCTCGTTCCACACTTTCTTCTGCTCGCCGTCGCTCTTCATTCACACTGTTGTCAGAACTAACACAACTGAGTTGCTTGTATGGACGATGGTGAATTGGGATGCTGAAGAACATCATTAATAGCGGGTAAAGAAAATTATTGTGCATCAGTGAACACGATGATGAGATCTTAGGTACGAAGATGACTCAGGGCGATCTGATGATGGAGGCAGCATCTCTGAAATAATTAGTAAACTTCTGTCAGACTGCTCGGCACAACAACCCGGAAGACAGTCATCTTGAGTGAGCACAATAATTTTTGCAGTGCACAGTAAAACCATCACAAGATGCAATGTGAGTTCAGTCTGACAGCTCAGCTTCCTCTGGCTCTAATGACACACACATAGTGTAGAAGATTGGGGGGATTCCCCAGCTGCAGAAACAATTATAGTGCTCTGACCCATGCTGCAGATTTTATATTAATTTGTCCTAAATTACACCTAGTTCTCTGTTTATTCGTATTAAATTAGTGTTGTTTTATTGCATTTTAATGGCCTTAGTTGGTCAGCCAATCATTTTACACAGATCTATTGTGGATGGAATAGTAAATTGTCACATACTGCAGCGATTATCAGTCATGTTTGGTTTCCTGGAGGCTTCTGGTTTGTTTAACAGTGTAGGAAGTGGCTGTACTCGGGCACCTCAATTAAGCCAGAACCATTGCCTTTCACATTCCATGCAATATCCTCAGTGCAGCTGCGAAACTGAACTGGAGATGGCTCTCGAAATGTTGGCGGAAGAGATGGTTAATTCGCCATTCAGCCACCTGACGCGGCTTGTTACCCGAGAGTATTTCATCAACTTCTGTCGCCGCGAAAGCTTCACTTTATACATTCTGTAATTGTTACTGTGTATGCAAAGGCATAGTAAACAACTAGTAATAATAACAGCGAGGTTGGTAGTAAGGTAAAGGCGAAGTTGTTCTCAGTGCTTTATTAAGCGCTACACCATGCAGATGTATGGGGAAGTGGACATATAACTCCACACAATCTTAACCTTGCCACTGCTTTTGGTAATTGGTCAGCTTCATGCCTTGGCTGGTTCCCTCCTGAGGAAAGAACCTTCATAGAAATTACCATTAATGATGATGGTAATTCACGAAACTAGGTCACAACTTTATAATTTAATTGAAGTAATGTGTGAATGTGATTCTTATTTGTTGTACACATTTCTGCAATATTTGTTGTAGCTGCAGTTCCCAGTGGATTCGGAGGAGGAGGTCCGGTCACGCACGCGGCAGCTTGATGGGCTGAAGACTGCGCTGAGGACCCAGCCGCATAGTTTTGTGCTGCGGTTCATTGAACTGGATGGCTTGCCTGCCCTGCTTGGTTTTCTGTCTGCCATGGATTATGCCACTGCACAAAGCTCCATTCACACATCACTTATTGGATGTGTGAAGGCTCTTATGAACAATTCGGTATGTAAATCTTCAGTTGCGTAGTTTTCATGACACTGACAACAGACGACTTGAAGTGAGGGCATTTTAAACATTTTAAATAGTTAAAATTGTAAGTCTTTCTGTTTTTGGAAGCTGATTGTAATTTCATGTCTGATCGGCACAAAATGGCACACGTTTCAACTTGACTGTCTCGTGAGGCTTGGTGAGTGCAGAGATGAATAATCATACAAAATTTTAATTCTTTTTTTCCTTTTGTCTCGTGCGCTTGGACGCTGATGGTGGGTTCAAATCCCACTCAAGGCATGGATGTTTGTCTGCGTCTTTCTGTATTGTGCTGTCCTGTGTACACGTAGAGGCCTTGCGACGGGCTGATCACTCGTCGAAGGAGTCCTACCAAATGTCTAATAGATCAAGAAACCTCCAGAAGGAGGCACCTTTGCTCTGTGGGGAGTGAAAAGAGTATTAAAAATAAGTTAATGTACTACTGTTTCCAGTGGTGTATCACACTTTGGAATTTATTATAGGTTTATTTTAAAGGTGTCTAATTAAACTTTTGGCATCCATATTAAGAAAAATATTTTTATTTTCTGTAACCAGTATTTTATCGTTAAGGCTTTATATAACTCTTACAAAAATAAATGCTGCAATTAGTAGTGAAAGTTAATGAACACTGCATACCTTAGAAGATTAACAGCTGTATGCTTTTACTACACACATGTGCACATTTCATTAAATGACACTTCCCCCTAAAAATTGAAATATGAACTGAAGTAGAAGGAATGCTTTAAATTTGAGTATATTTATTTTTCAAATTTGTCTTTTGAAATTTCATATAATTCTTTTTTGTCTTTTTCACTACATCCCATGATAAAAGTGCTTGTGATGGTCTAGAGCAGCCTTTCTCAACCTATGGTACACGTACCACTTTTGGTATATGAGCCAATGTTGAGTGGTAACCGAGCTAAGTAAGATAATATTAACATAAATAACAGTTTTCCCTGAATACATTTGGTTAGTGGTACAATTAATGTGTTAAATTAGAATTAGTGGTACGCCAGCAAAAAAGGGTGAGAACCCCTGGTCTAGGGTAATGATCTCCAACCTGGGGAATGTGCTCTGCTGTGGTGGCAGAGGGGAACATGAGGTTATGAAAAAGAAAATAATTTTTAGTGTCAAATTCAACTGCAAAACACATTTTTAGCTGCATTTAATCATCTCATTTGTTAGCATCCATCAGTGGTAGACTTAATATTTTATGCAGGCGTCATTGAAGAAGTAACGAAAACGCTGTATGACGTAGTCTTTGTTTACGTGGGGTGCCACATTCTGTCTTTTGACAGCTACGTCAACAGTGAACAGATGGACTGTCTGTGGGTTCTCCCTACTTGGAATCTCCATTGTTTGCAGATGGGGGTTGTATCATCTTGTTATCATCCTAATCACATTTTTTCTGTAGGATATTGGTCGTATTCATTCTGTTTGTCTGGCCTCTCAGGCTACCCTGTTTCGACACCCCTTACTTATTCATGTGAAGTATGTCTGCGTCTGCTAAAGGGGTTTGTTACAAATGTGAACCTGTATGCCTTAGGCCATTTTTACTCTTCGTATTTGAAACTATTCATTGTTGAACAATTCTGTAATCAAATTACCACTAAAGAGAATGATTGTGTTCATTTCAGTATGAGGATTAGCAAACCAAACAAAATGCCGGTAGCAGTTCTAAGCCAAATGCGGTTGACACCAAGATTTTCTACCAACGTAAATATATGATATGAGGTTAAATTTGAAGAATAATTAATTAAAATTTGGTAAAAAATTGGAATAAGTGGAAATAAGCTTGAAGTAGGTGTGTTTATAAAGACTGATTATTACGAAACTTTATGAGCAAGTAAATGGGTTCTTTCTCAATAATAGAGTTTTTATTTAAATTTTTTAGCATAAAATGCAATAAATATACTGTATTTTGTAACATGCAGCACTTTTGGGTGGTTTAGATTCCAATTAAATCCATACGTGTACGTAGACCCAGGAATTTAAATGCCGTACTGAAATGAGACTGTGCTTTCTTCCAGGGTACATCTTCATCAGTTTTTGAATTTTGTACCAGTTTGTGCAGTCTGGTGTGAAATGGTTCTAGCAGAATCCTGATGTGAAAAAAAATTTCCTCTTTCATTCGTATGTGAAAATCCCATTAGAAATATACGTTACAGTACAGGAATCAGTGCTGACCACTGAGCATCCCTGCTGCCTAGTAATTTGATTGAATTGAGTAATTAAAAGGAAAATTAATTGGACTGCATTTGTTTGCCTCTTGCTGTAGAACGGTCGAGCACACGTGCTGGCGCATCCAACAGGCATCAACACCATTGCTCAGAGCCTCAGCACCGAGAATATTAAGACCAAAGTGGCTGTGCTGGAAATCTTGGGAGCTGTGTGCTTGGTGCCCGGTGGTCACAGGAAGGTGTTGGAGGCGATGCTGCAGTATCAGAAGTTTGCTTCCGAGAGAACACGATTCCAGGTAACGTGTTTCAGATAAAAATAAAAAAAGAAGAGGAATTAATAGATGAAACTTGGTGGAGAGGAGAGGGTACAGAATCAGTGATGCTGTGGGACTAGAAATTGTAGTAAAATGAATCCAGCTATTTTTTTGTTTCCTACCACATTAAAGCGTTTTTTCTGAAGTTTATTTTCTCTGCTGTTTTCGTAGATGCCGTTGTAACTTTGGTTACAGTTTTTTTTAGAGGACGCACTGAACACAGGACTGAAGAAAATTTTAAGTTGAGGATGTTTAGTGCGGACGTACTGGATGTGGCACCATAGGACATATCTATCTTATATCAGAGAACAATGAACAAAGATGCAGTATCAAACATAAATTTATGTTCATCCTAAAAGCAATTTAATTATTATAAAATAAAAAATCAGCACACTGAACGTTTTTGTTTCTTGGAAAATTCTGCTACATTTCTTACATATAGACATGCAGAGAATTTTTAGGAAATGCATGTGCATTTGCATTAATATTATCCTGATTGTTATTGTGTTGTAAGTTTTACTATGAAAACCTGAAGGGTTGGCTGTGTAGTGCCTTAGCACAGAACACACCTGCTCTATCCCCAATCCCTCCCAGTGTATCGTCCGCACATTTGTGTTCAATGAACGAGAAGTGTCAACATTAAACAATCTTAGCACTGTGATTATCTTCAATCTGGTGTGCATCCCCCAACTATGTCAGCCTTCTAGTTAGATGACCTTGCAGTTGATTCAGAATTATATTTAATTATGAATATATATATAAGCGACTGATTTGGACTTCTTTGTAATATTCTGCACGTTGCCACACCATTTAAATTCTCTCTTTCTGACATTCTGAAGCGACAATTTAAATACCCATTATACACTATGTTTTAATATAATAAGTACAGAAAGTTAATTTTAGATGTGGCAGAGGATCAAATATGGAGTCAGAGTGGTGAATTGGATCCCATGTTGAAACCCACATGATCAAAGTTTTCTGCACCTGTTGGGATAAAGGCAGTGCTCTTACAACTCCAGTTTCAACTGTCGCAGGGTATCGTGAATGACTTGGATCGCAGTACGGGGATCTATCGAGATGAGGTGAATCTCAAGACAGCCATCATGTCCTTCGTGAATGCTGTCCTCAACTATGGACCAGGTCAAGAGAACCTTGATTTCCGCCTTCATCTTCGTTACGAGTTCCTGATGCTTGGTATCCAGCCCATTATCGACAAGCTCCGTGGCCATGAGAATGAGACCCTCAACAGGTCAGTGTCTTAGACATGGACAGGCACATCAGTGTGCCAAGGCTGGATGAAAGCGTGATTTTTAAAATTATTTTAAAAAGTTAGAAATATTTTATGTGGTACAGACTACAAGAGATAAGTGTTTTATGCATGTTTTTATGAAAGGAGATCAATATAGAATAGTGGTATATGCGATACACCATTATTTTACATCTGCAGCATGTTAAATGTATTGACATTACAACAGAAATTTGTGAATTGCATAGTAGACTCGTCAGATGCTGAAAATGAAACCAAATTAATTAGCTTTCTTAATATTACATGTTTCTATTTAGCAGTTTAATGCTTTGTGCTTTATTTATTTTTCCCCAGGCATTTAGATTTCTTTGAAATGGTGAGGAATGAAGATGAGAAGGAACTGGCAAGGAAGTTTGAAAAGGTACGCTTTTGTATGTGGTAAAAAGTCACTTGATATTAGAGAACAAATTTGGGTATTAGTTTTATGTATGTGTTGTTGTCAGCGTAGAAATACGAACCTCAGAAAGAATTAAAATCACTGTCTTGTGGGTTGTAACACCACGTAGTCTTGTAGAAGTTTACCAGCGTTTCAGAGGTCCCTGCTGCCTCCAACATCAGGGCGATTCATCCCAGAAGACAAATCAAAAGGGGTAGGGGGCTTTGAATGACTTGCAAAGATATTGTATGTTCTGAATCAGTAGAGACCAGATACGTAAAAGTGATTTTAATATTAACTATAATAACCCTATCTTTGAAATAATTAATTTGAATTTTCCAAATAGGTAGCAGCACTAATTGCTACCTCCTCTTAATTCTCCCTTCCCTTCACTCATGGACTCGAATGCACAGGAAACACTTCCATAGCTGCATACCAAAACATGACGTGGAACCATCAAGATGACATAGTACAGATAATATGTACTAAAAAAAGTAAAGAGGCCCCTCTACATGCCATGTATGCACTTACGGGGAGAGCCTCAGGACTAGATGCGAGTGATTGGTCAGTGTTACACCTCGATACTCTTTGGACGGGAGGCTGGGTGCAACGCAGAGGCTAGAAGAAAATTCCTTTGCCCCTGTCGGTGATCGAACCCCGGTCGTCCAGTCTATAGTCAGTCACTGTAGTGACTGAGCTACCTCAACACAAATAAAAATTACATTTTACATAAGTTTCTATAATATAAAAACATAACTTGTTTTTACAAACACACATGAGGACTATAACAGTTGAACAGTTGTAATATACCACTGGCCTGGAATCAAAACATTGCCTGCAAAAATGAGATATTATTTTTGTATTATTTAGTATTTTAAAAAAATTAATGAAACATTTCATAATGCAAAAGTCTTGCAGTAATTTATGGATGTGATGATTACTGAGTACTGTAGAAACATGTAGTCTAACAAAAATGTACATTTAATGATAATGTAGAAGACATGGTAAAAAGTTGGTCATGCAAGAGTGATGCACTTTAAAATAAAAATGCCGGAAGACAGCCACCTTCATACTCATCACTACGATAACTGGAAATCTTATTTCATAGTTAATGATTGTTGGTATTATGAAGAGAATTTCTGTACAAGTTATCAGTTTTGAGTATAATTTTGTATAATTTTTAGTGTGGTTCTGTTTGTTTGTTTGTTTTCCTGCTTCATACATTGCGGCAGAAAGGGAAAATGAAATGGGGGAACCTTCATTGATGAAAAGATTTAGAAGTTCATGGCAATGGTAACGGTTTGACTAGAAGTCTGCTTTTGGTTTTGAGGTATACACATATGAATACAGCATTTTTAAAATATTTGGGAATGACAGTAACATATTAAAATTGTATTTATAGAGTAACTAAAAGCAGATGTAATTTAGGGAATGCTTGGTACCATGTTATTCACAGTCGTTTATATTGCTGTCTGCTATCAGAAAATGTAAGGAAAAGAAAAAAATTACCTGTTGTTTTGTATGGATGTAAAACTTGTTCACGTTAAAGAGAGAACATAGATTAAAGGTGTCTGAGGAGAATGTCTGAACCTAAAATTGAGGAAGTAACTGGACACTAGAATAAACTACGTGATCAAAGCATCATACTTTGTAATCTTGGCGAGATATTTTTTGGATAATGAAATCGAGGAAGGTGAAATGAGCAGGCATGAAAGACACAGGAAGATGTGAAGTGTATGCAAAATTATGGTTAGGAAGCCCGAAGGGAAGAGAGAGATAATACTAAAATGGATCTTAAGGAAATAGGATGGGAGGGTGTGGGTTGGATTCATGTGGCTTAGAAAGGAACTAACTGCTGGTGGACTGTTGTGAATGTGATATATACACTAGATCAATTGTGTGTAAAAAGATGATTGTTTTCTGGGATTTTTGCGCTATGTAGTTTCACAGAAATATCTTGCCTTTTAGAGGTTCTTACTGCCTCCATCATCAGGATAGGTGATGAATTGTTACAGAGGAACATATCCTCCATCTTTTAGGGCTGAATGTAGTGTCTAACTACAAGTTCATATGGCACAACAACCCAATGGATCATTGATATTGTTTACCCCTGCATTCACAATTTTGACTTTTTGATGGAAGCGAAAAACCAGATTGAGTTTATTTTTTATGCATGGAAGCAACAGATCTTTAACCTGAGACATTGTGCGTAGGTGTTCTGTGCCGTGCATTTACACTGAAAAGTCTGTGGTTTAGACCCCACCTGAAACTTCTGACTGCCGTCAGGTTTACCATTATTTGATATTCAAGTGCTAGGTGCCCCTTATTAATGTTAAATACTGCTTAAGGGCTGGTTAAATTAAGCAAATGCTTAATAGCAAGTATGTTAAGCATTGAAAAACAGGTATTGATTATATGACGTTAAGTTTTCACAGCAGATGTCATTAATAAAATCTTCTTGGTTAAACTCTGCTGAAGGCTAGCCTTGAAAATGAGAACAGATGGCCCTCAAAATGTCAGCAGAGTTTAACGAAGTGACGCGGATGCTGGCCGGAGAAGATTTTATGAAGGTGTTGGAGAGATTGTGTCACTTCTGTGTTTAACAACTGGGTTAACATCAGATATCAACATTTGTTCCTGATATATGATTTGAAGCTTTCACGGTGACGTGACTCAATGAAATCTTCTCAGGCGATTAGCCATGTTATATGGTTAAAAGAAACAGACTTTGAGGGACCATCTCTGTCCCCATCATAAGGGTTCTGATTTGACGCGGCTGATCGCCTGAGAATATTTTATTGGGAATTTGTTCCATTTTTGATGTGCGTTTCTCTACTTCATGTAACTGTTAACTTTTAAGAAGTGATGTAATGACTGATGTAATATGTTACAGGAACATGTGGACACAAAAAGTGCATCGTCAATGTTTGACCTGCTGCGACGGAAGCTGAGCCACACAGCGGCCTATCCTCACCTTCTTTCTCTGCTGCAGCACTGTATATTGTTACCATGTAAGTAGGTTCATGTCTTTCAGGCAGTATTACATAGCATGAATCTTGGGCACATTTTCAACATATAAAGAAAATAAAGGGAGATTTAGTCTTTAAAATTAAGATAAAAAGTCTGGACACTTTGGATTGTGCTGAATGTTATGGCCAACTACTTAGCACTTTTGTTTGTGTTTTGGAGGTCCCATGTTTAAATATCTGCTGAAAGACTGTTTATCTTGACAGAGATTGTTCATAGATTTCTTCAGCCACTCAATGTAAACTGCGGGATAATACATTAAAGTAGGCCATGACCACTTCCACATCCTTTCCAATTTAACATTTGCTAATAACTTTATAATTTGATATTTTATAGTCTGACCTAATGACGGCATCATTAATCTGCGATTAAATAAATATGGTAACTGCATGTCATAAGGTGGTAAAACTAGAATGTCGCTGACTGGCAAAAGAATGGCTTGTTAAGAAAATGTACATCTTCTGGGTTGTTGCGCCATGTAGTCTGGTAGAAGTTTACTGATGTTTCAGAGGTCCTTGCTGCCTCCATCATTATGATGTACATCTGATGAAGAATGAGATTCTGTTATGATGGTGATGTACTTCCAGGTTTATTAATAACAAGAAGTCTTTTTTATTGGCTGCTTATTGACGCACTATCAGTTTGGACCTTTTAATTACAAATTTAAGTAGCGCAATTAATGTTGAACTTTCAGTCGGAAATCCTCAGCGGAAAGTTTTCTCCTTTCATTCACAGAAGCGATTCTGTTTCTCATGTACATACCCCATGGTTGTTTTGTCTGCACAGTCTGTTGACTTCCTTCACCTTCTCACTAGTTCTGCCAACCTTCAGAAAAAGTTGTTTCCACTAGCAGCCATTCCTTTCGCCATACAATGTCCAAATATTTCAGTTTTGAACAAACTGCTTTTTAAAGGGTGGTCATTGGTGTTTTAGGTTTCAGAGACTGTGATGTCATTATTTATTGTGTAAGACTTGAGGTTCTCACAGCGGTGAGTATGAAGATATCCGTCTTCTGGGTTATTGCGCTGTGTAGTCTGGTCGATGTTTCATCGCCCTGATGATGGAGGCAGTATGACCTCTGAAACATTGGTAATCATCGACCAGACTACACAGCGCAATAACCCAGAAGACGGATATCTTCATTATTTATTATTATTATTTAACCTAAATGATGAGACAAAAATCTCATTCTCATCAGCATTTCAGGGCATTTATATTATGATGTGTTCAGTGTGTTTGCCCCTGAATGTTTTGAATATTGGTTTCAGTCCTTGCTATTGAAGGCCTGCTGCTGTAAGACTAATCGCCCAAAACTGACCACATCTTGCAAAATTTCTTGACATAGCTAGAAATTGTGTGCCTGTCCATTCCAGCTTTGATGCCAAACTTTATTTGGAATGCTCCTCTGACCTTCTCCGGGCTTTCAGATGATCAGATGTCCTCTTCCATGATGAATGTGCACTGCCTGGTAGTGTACAGAATTAAATGAAATTTAATGAGAAGCAAATGGCTTGAGCAGTACAGTGTGTCAGCAAAGTTTCTTCAAATTATAATCACTTGTGAGAAAATTGAGTTTAATCTTTGAGGAAAATTACCCCAAAGTTGGAAGCAGCATGTTCCTCCGAAACGTTGGTGGCTTCCTACAGGTTCACAAGGCCTTTCTGTCCAAGTGACCGACACTGACATGTTTACCACTGTAAGAAATTTTGTACATGAGAAGCTTCATAATATAAACTTTTGCCTAATATTGTAAGATGTTTGAATTCAGATGAAAGAGATGGGTGGACAGATGAAAAAATATAGATTTAGATTTGTATAAAATATCAGATACTATTATAGTTTTGTTTATTCTAGTGTGTTAAATACAAATTGTTCTTGCTGAGCTGAGTGCTGCGTTGTCACTGGAAAAACTGAGCTGACTTGCACGCTGCCTGCTGGTATTGCCAGTGCTTATTACATGCATTTGTATATTCCACTATCTTATTTTCTATAGTTGGTATGTATGATGTTCTTGTGTGTTGACAGTGGACTATGGATCTCATCCCCAGCATTGGTTGCTGTTTGATCGTATCACCCAGCAGATCATCTTACAAAGTGAGAACGGTGAAAACCCTGACCTCTCGCCGCTTAACATTAATGTTAAGGAACTAGTTCACCTGTGAGTATGTTGTGCACAATATTTAATCAGATAGCTCAGTATTTTATCATATCAGTAATTAAGTAGCTTGGTTTAAATATAGATTTATTACTGTTATTACAGTTATTATTTTTTTGACTTAAGTATTTTTAGTATATAAACCACCATCTTGATTGTTTTGCCTATAGTTGATTCATTGTCTTTGTACTCATATTCACTGTGACCTTTGCTATTCTATTTCATCATGCTGCTGACTTCATCACTCTATCAACTCAACAAACTTACCAGTACACAACAAAACTCTTGGCTCACACTCTTCATAACCATTTCACTTGCTTATTCACTCATAATTAAACTGAACTTTCAAACAAGAACTGCAGTAGTTTTATATAATTATATAGTGGTTCTGGATCTTACCATCGCTAACCAAAGGGGATAAAGGCTGTTGAGGTCCATCCTGGGCCTTTCAGTTGCATTCCAAACATTTATAGAAACAATTCAAGTGCCACAGATATGTGCCCATGCTGGGTGATGCAATGAAAGCCAGCTACCAGAGACTGCAGGGAGTAACTCTTGATGTTATGTTGGTAGTGATGCAAATAGGAACAAAATTTGGTAACTGGTTTTGCACACTGCACTTGCTGATGTGTTGGACACTAACCTAATTTAACCCAAATTAATCCAACCTTTCTTAATAAAACCTAACATAACCTAACCGCACATAATCAAACCTAACCTAACCTAACCAAACCTCTTAATCAAACTTATCCTCACCTAATCAAGCCTAACCCCACATAATCAAACCTAACCTCACATAAATTTAACCTAACATTACATAATCAAACCTAACCTAACCTCACACAATCAAATTTAACCGAACATCATATAATCAAACCTAACCTAACCTTGCATAATCGAACCTAATCAAACCTAACCTAACATCACATAATCAAACCTAACCTAAACTTACATAATCAAGCTTAACTTAACATCACATAATCAAACTTAACCTAACATCACATAATCAAACAACCTAACATCACATAATCAAACCTAACCTAAACTTACATAATCAAGCTTAACTTAACATCACATAATCAAACTTAACCTAACATCACATAATCAAACCTAACCTAACCTCACATAATCAAACTTAACCTAACATCACATAGTAAAACCTAACCTAAACTCACATAAACTCACATAATCAAACTTAACCTAACCTCATAACCTAACCCAACCTATCTCTGTGTTTGAGCATGTTATTTGTGATCTGCTCATTATTGTACTTTGTTTCCTTTGTAGCCTGGCCAAGGAAGAAGAGCTGGTTGCAGCAAGGAGCAAGGCTGAAGAATTAGAGAAGGAAAATGTGGAAATTGCTACAAAACTTGCAAAGAAAGAGCAAGAACTAGATCTCAGGACACAAGAAAAGGTATTTCAGCCATGTACACTTGTCACAAGATGTCTCCAAGCTTTATTGACTGTTACAAATACACGTGTTGGTGACTAGCCAGCTGAGGTATGGGGAGGGAGGGAATGAGATATTACATAATGCTTCTCCCCCCCATGCCATTTCCATCTTCCAATCATCCCTCACTGTGATGCAGCTCAAGCTCACAGATGTTCTTCATCCAGTATAATGTAACTTGTTTTGAAAAAATGAAGAATAGTGAAATAGAAGAATATGTTATGTTGAACATTAAATATTTCTGACGTAAATACGTCTATACGGAAGGGTCATTCGGCAAGAAAGTGAAAGGAAAATGTGTAACGAAAACGTGGAACGAAAATGTGTAAGATCCATATCAACAATGTGTAAATATGGACCGACAACAATGGGCAGCTTGCATGCATTATGTTACCCAGGAAACGTCATCTGTTTACTCTGCATTGTTTTGTTACATTACTGCCGTCAACAGTCCACTTTCGTTATTGCAGAAAGAGCTGAACTGTGAATCGCTTGTAGAAGAAGTGTGTCGTAGACTAGATAATTTTGACATTACATTCATTGTATTTAATGCTTAAATATAATTTAAATACAGAGACGTATTTACGTCAGATTCTCCGGAACCGTGGTTCCACTGTCAGTTTTCTTGTTAACTAGTCATTGGTTGGTGGTGAAAATGTTCTTTGTGTTGCTACTATTTAGGAAGATATGGAAACAAATTTGACGCGTGTGAAAGAACGACTGGAGAAAGAGACAGCAGCAAATCTGGAGACCAAACAACGCATTTCAGAGCTGGAATATCGTGCCTCGGAGTTAGATCGACAAGTGAACTGTGAACGAGGAGAGAGACATCGCTTGGAAAGGCTTGTCAGCTCAGGGAGTCTACCAGACGATGCCAAGGTAAACAGAGGAATTCTACTAGGCATGTGGGAAGTGTCAGACTAGCATATGGTGGAAAATTCTCTTCACATTGATGTATGTGCTACTGGCAGTAATATGAAATGGGCCCAATTTCTGACGTTGCTGCGTTTTGCTGCGCTCTTAGTTTTAATGTTATAGAACGAGTGTAAGTTTTTAAATGAAGAGAAATCGAAACCAGTTTTCTGTTTCTGTTTCACTGTTTGAATTTTTAGGTTATTTTAAAAACCTTTGTGATTATTGAAATAACCCTGTCAGAGCCAAGTTTATCTTTGTGTTGTAAGTGATAGGTCAAGATCGTAGCAGCACTTGGCACTTACGCGCTTCCCGGAAGTTCCCTAAGTGGTATATGTAATGAATGTTCCTGCTTTGATTTATTGCAAAATTTACAGAGAGAATAAAGAAATTTCCTCATTTGTAGTGGTAGTTCTTAAAACACGCAACAGCTCAAATTACAAAATTTCAATCCATAGTTTGAAGTGTATATCAAACTATATGCTGCATGAAAAGTTGACATAACTGAAAGAATTTAAAATTTTACAGTGTGGAAAGTATTAAAAATTGCCGAATGTGGCTTTATCGTTTTGCACTACATCGCACAGGATGAGAATGTTGTCATGGGCCAGACACAAATACTTAACATTATGGTTGAAGAAAAGGATAATTTGTAGGGATTTTGTTAATACTTCAAATTTTTGTCCTGCGGACATCTGACATACAGAATTGTGTTTGTATGTGTGTATTTGCCTCTTTTCAGAAGAAGTATTCAAACACCTCTGGAATGTAATGTTATGCAACTGCTGGAGAATCTCTTATTATTCGTGATTTATATTAGTCAAAGAAAGTGAATTATAACACATTCACTGTTGGACATACAAATGTAACTCTGTGTGATAAGCAAAAAATATGTTATTTGAAAACAAAGGTGTCTATGAAATATGACTTGAAATTGTTACATGCATTCATTTTTTAAAAGTGTTGGTTTTACGGCAGTTGGATGGCATCTATATGATTTGAAGTTTTTGCAGCGACTAAACTCAAAAAGAGACCAACATTTTGGGAACTAATCAATAAAATCTTCTCGGTCAATCAGCCGTGTTAACTGGTTACCGTAGTAAACCGACGTTTTGGGAACAAACTCTGTCCCCATCTTCAGAGTTCTGATGGGGACAGAGTTTGTTCCCGAAACGTCGGTTTACTACGGTAACCAGTTAACGTGGCTGATTGGCCGAGAAGATTTTATTGATTGTACTCGCCGCGAAAGTCTCAAATCCTTTATTTTGGGAACTGTCTCTGTCTGATTTAAACATCAGAACCATGATGTTAGGGAAAAATGTGGTTCCTGAAATTGTCTCATTGTGTAACCAGCTGATGCAGGTGATTGTCCAAGATTTCATTGTATATGGCATCTGTTAAAAAATTAAGCAGTAATTTGATGATGTAAAACATGATGTTCACTTCCATGTCAGTAGCCAGCATCACAGTGCAAACTCTGTTCACATCTAGTGTTTTATTCACATATTTATTTATTTCTCTTTTCCTTACAGGCCGTTGGCTTGAGGGCAGGCGTTGCAGAGTTAGCCTGTGTAGATCTTAACCGATCATCTGAATTCTCCAATGGTCCGGTGCCACCCCCTCCCCCTCCAATGTCTCATGCTCCCCCACTTCCACCTCCAGCCCCCGGCTGTTGTCCCCCTCCCCCACCCCAAGCACCGCCTTCGGTCCCAGTGTCTGCACCAAACCGTCCAGAAGTGCCCAAGAAGAATGTGCCACAGCCTTCTAATCCCCTCAAGTCTTTCAACTGGTCCAAGCTTCCAGATGCTAAGGTGACGGGTACAATATGGTCAGAACTTGATGACACAAAGCTGTATACTGCCATGGAGCTAGAGAATATTGACAAGCTCTTCTGTGCCTATCAGAAAAATGGAGTAGCAGTAAGTATGGTTTTCTGGTTGTACTTCGGTGTCAAAGAACACTGTTTTCCAAAATTCGTTGTATCATTTGCTCACCAGTTTCAGATGCAGTGTATGAAACCAGTGGACATTTTATTTATGGTTTATTTAATGACAGTATCAATAGCTCAGGTATGTTTTACATTCACCAGATACTACAGAACAAGTGGGACAGTCCATAAACTATTTACAGACTTCAAGAATGCCTATGACTCAGTTAAAAGAGAAGTTCTTTACAATACTTTGCTTGAATTTGGTGTACCTAAGAAGCTAGTCTGGCAAATTTAAACGTGTTTAAGTGAAAACTCTAGAAAAATTCATGTGGGTAAACATTTGTCTGATACATTTCCTATTCAGAATGACCTGAAAAAGGGAGATGCTTTATCGCCGATGCTTTTTAATTTTACCTTATAAGTTGCCACCAGGAAATTCGAACGGAATCAGGGCTGCTTGAAACTGAATGTTGCATATCAGTTTTTGGTCTATGCTGATGATATTAATCTCAGCATCAGAATTCAGGACAGGAGCAGAGTATAAGGATAGCTAATGAATCGTTCGAAAATGTGGAAAAATTCAGGTACTTGGAGATGACACTAACAAGTCATAATGACATTCATGATGAAATCAAGAGCAGATTGCTTGCTATAAATCGGTACAAATTCCTTTGTCCTTCCCGTCTCATATCAAAAAACTGTGTCCTGTACGGGTGCAAAACTTGATCTCTCACATTGAGGGAGGAACATAGATTGAGGGTCTTTGAGAACAGAGTGTTGAGGAGGATATTTGGACCTAAAAGGGATGGAGCCAGATCATTGGGAAAATTGCATAATGATGAGCTTCACAACCTGTACTCCTCGCCTGCTGTTGTCAGGGTGATTAAATTAAGGAGGACGAGGTGGGTGGGACATGCAGCACACATGGGGGAGAGGATGGGTGTTTACAAAGTGTTGTTTGGGAGGCCTGAAGAGAGAAGACTGCTGGGAAGACCTAGGCGTAGGTGGGAGGATAATGTTAAGATGAACCTTAGGGAGATAGGAGCCTCTTTAGGTTACTTGAAATTATGTTCGATAAATCGCCATTGCAGAGACCATGGTTAAGACAGGCAGAATGAGCTTAAGGAAAGAATGGGAGCAGGTACAGGAGAAATGAAAGTGGGTAGAGATGAATGGACAAGGTTTCGTCGTAAGATGAGGAAGAATTGATTGATGACAAAAAGGATGCATGCATGTTGCAGGCACTCCTAATTCTTAAGCCTGCAATATGGGCTTCCATATCCGAGATAAACCTCTTGTCGCATGATGCAAACTTTGATATGTGGAATGCACTGAGTGTATGGAGTTTAAATCTTTGTCCACTGCCTAGGACACCATTTAAATGACTGCTAGTACTGAAAGGTTAGGCTGAAGGAGAGAATAATATTAAAATGAAAGGAAGGAGAGAATAATATTAAAATGAAAGGAAGGAGAGTGATTGTTGTGGACTGGATTCATCTGATTCAGGATGGCGACATACAGTAGGTTCTTGTGAACATGATAGTGAACCTGTAAGTTCCATGAAGGCAGATAATTTCTTGACTAGCTGAGCAATTATCAGTTTTTCAAGGACTCTTCTGCATGGAGTTAGGTTTTGAAATTGATATGGCTAGAAACCTTACAAAGAGTAGATAATTTCAGTCGGCTTTATGCTACTTCATGGTGATGTGGCAGAATCAAGTGTAATGTTAAAGGCTGTTACCTCTCACAGTGCTTACTTACAATTTTTCTTTCTTTCTTCAGAATGATGGATCTATAGAAGACTTGCGCCAGATCGGAAAACACCGAACCAAAATTTTATCTGTAATAGACGGAAGGAGAGCACAGAACTGTACAATCCTTCTCTCCAAGTTGAAGATGTCAGATGAGGATATTTCCAAGTAAGGGTTACAAAATACAGGGAGAGCACAAAAGAACTTTGCACTTTCAAAATTGCACAGAAAGCAAATGCAGTATACTTAGAACTTCACACCTACACCAGTTGATAGAAAAACTATGAAAGTTTGTACACACCTTACAGGGACTCGATATGTACCCTGCAAGTCACATGGCAGATGTTCAGATGATAATCTAGCTAATCCCAAACTTTGTGCAGTGTGTCCCTAGTGATGCAAGCTGTGGTAATTGTGATTTGAATTTCTTGTACCAAGAGTAAATGGATACTCGCCTGGGTGGTTCCATGTGAAATGCTTGATGCACAGCTGTTACAGACTCCTCCTTTGCTAAGTTCAGAACACACCAACTCCTCTGTTGTGGAGTAGCCATTTTAAAAGCTAGTGGCATCTAGTGGAGGCACATGACAACAACAGTCACCCAGGTCATTTGAAACAAAATCTCTAGAGCCTTTTCATAATCTGGTGTTGGTATGAAATTCTAAGTACACCACATTTGTTTTTTATATCATTTTGAAAGTATAATATTCTGTTGTGCTCACTCTGTAATTCGTGCGACATATTTAAAATTGACTGTCTGATACATTCCTGTCCTCTTTCAGATGATTGTCACATGATTTCTAATGTTGATGCTCGTCTTCTGGTTTGTTATGCCATGTGGACTTAGGTTGAACCCAACATTTCAGAGGAACATACTATGCCCATCTTCAAGGCTGAAGTGCCAATTTGACTGCCATGCAGACCTTAGATTTTATATACTTTGTAATATTAAAGATGTCACTGTTTGGTAAATTGTCTGGTAGAAGTTTGTTGGTGTTTTAGAGATGATTATCATAGGGGCGATGACTCATCACTGATTACTCATTGCCCTGATGATGAAGGTGGCAAGGACCTCTGAAATGTCAGTAATCTTCTACCAGATTATGTACTGCAACAACCCTGGAGACAGCCATCGTCAAATATGTTCTTATTTCTGATAGTTATAGCAAGTAGGATAGTTGGTACCTCTATGTAAGGAAGTGTGATTCACAAGATACCAGTATCTCAAACGCTACTATATCTTGGGATTGGAACACTGAAAATACAGTTGAAATGTGACAGAGAAATAACATTGCATGTTAATTTAAAGAAATGCATTCCAATGTGTACTGTATTTGCTCCATGCAGAAACGAAGTTGCGGGTATGTGAAGATACAGAGTGTTAGTGGAGTCATGTTGTGATTTGCTGTGTTGGCGGTACTGTAAAACGTTGTCTTCTGCAGGTTTTCATACTCGTGTGATTTTTCAGAGCAATTTTGAGTATGGACAGTAAAGACCAGCTGCCCATTGACATGGTAGAGCAACTGCTGAAGTTCACTCCGAGTGTAGAGGAAGCAGCTCTATTGGAGGAGCACAGCGAGGAAATTGATAGCCTGGCGAGAGCAGACAGGTTTCTTTATGAGATTTCCAAGTGAGTACGTTAATAACATGTTGTTACGTAATTGGTGAATATGCCGTGGTTTCTTCTCTGCGTCCAGACCGCCTCTGGGGCCAACCCAGCCTCCTATCCAGTGGGCACTGGGGTCTTTTCCTGGGGCTAAAGCACAGCTGGAGCATGACGCTGACCACTCACCCCCGTCTAGTGCTGAGGTTAAGAATGACTAGGAGCTACACTGCTCTCCCCCGAGCGCCTACATGGCATATAGTGGGACAGCTTTACTTTTATTTCACCGTGGATTTTTAACACGAAATAGATTTATTCAACAATATTAACAATTAATGCCTGATGCTTTACAAATCACAGTCCTGATTATCTGGTTATAAATGATTTCTTCTGTGCCATAATAAAGTTCTGGTTTCATGACACCAGTCAATAATACAGCTGTTCAGTTGGCAATTCACACATATCTTAGTGTCTGTAATCTTAAATTTCACCCTCTTCCATAGCCAATGCAGATATAACCTGCTGGGTTTAACCAATTTCTATTAAGTGGTTTCATAGCATCAGGATACAGTTAATTTAACTTGCATCAGATAATGTACAGTCTAGCTGACCATGCATTGCAGTATCATACCACTAAACCAGCATTTATCAGAGTGTGGTACGTGTATGCCAGTGGTACACGGAAGGATTTCAAGGTGTACATGGCAGAAAATAAATTAATATAAATTATTCTAGAACTGTGTTTGCTATGAGATTAACCACATTACCACATTATGATTATGCACACTAAGATGTGTGTGAAGTGCCAATTGAGTAGCTGTATTATTACAAAAGAAAAGAAAAATTCTATGAGGTAAGGTCAAAATGTAGAGAAACTTTGGTCTTTAACAGTTTTAATAAATTTATGTTCCCATTCACGATCTCAGCCTTATTGATATACCGTCTCCCAGTCGAATCAGTTAAACTATAAGCAGTTAATTTAGATAAACTCAGATCTTCATTAGTGTTGATGAATTTTTTCAGTTTTCTTTGATCAAAGAAAGATAATCAAATTTGTTAAGTTGATCGATGTCTCAGTCTTTAGAACATTTATTAATATCCTGCCCTTTCTGTTTGCTAGGATTCCACATTATGAACAGAGACTGCGTAGTTTACATTACAAGAAACGGTTTAGTGTGTGGATTGGGGAAGTTCAACCTCGCATTAAATCTGTAATGGAAGCGTCTCGGGAAGTGGCCCGTTCGCGTCGACTGCGGCGGCTGTTAGAATTTGTGCTGGCACTCGGTAATTATATGAACAGGGGAGCCCGAGGTAATGCCTCTGGCTTCAGGCTCACTTCACTGAACCGCCTCGCAGACACCAAGTCCAGCGCAGCAAAGGGCACCACCTTACTGCATTATCTAGTCGAGATCTTAGAGAAAAAGGTACTGTCTGTTTTATTCACTTCATTCTTCTATGTCTGACTGCTTTGTAGGCTAGCATGTTCTGTTGTGTAAATGTTGCACGTTAAAGGTTAATAAGCGAGTCTCTTTTAAGGAACATTTTTCTGCAGCGTGACTCATTCTGTGTTTTATCATTTTTAGTGATGTTTCTGGTTTGTTACCTGATAAATCACATATATTTATTTACATTCACTGTCTGTCATGAAAAATGACATGTTAACCACTTTCTCCAAGGAGTCTATAATAATTTTACTTAGAAAGAATCATGCGTGTTTTATGGATCCCAAAATTCAAGTAAGAAGTTGATGGAAACAGATTGTAGCTACAGATTTTTACTTGTGCAATGCACCGGGGCAAAAATATGAATGGATACAATTAAAAACTATTTCCAAAATATGACTAAATTATATAGATAAATTTTAGAATAAATGTACAGTAGGGCCCTGCTTTTCGGCGATCCGCTAATATGGCGCTCAACAGCTGAGTCAGAGAAGTGCGTCCGGCGCCATTTTCTCGTCGCTGATTCAGTCTGTTTACAGCTTTTGTGCGCTCCGCGTGTCTCTGTATTTCTGGCAATTTTTCAGTTATTACAAACTGTATATTTATATAATATTTTTGTGTTACTACAGTGTAATTACAATGGCGTCTAAGGGTAGTAGCGATAAAAAGAGGAGTCGTAAGCCTCTTACTTTAAATGCCAAGTTAGAGATGATTAAACTTCGTGAACAAGGCATGTCTATGGCTTCCGAACCATCACCAAAACGAATAGGATTCGTTGAAGAGTCACATGATGAAGATGCGCCATCTCCTTCATTCTTCCTACTATAAGCATATCAATTTTCAAATTTATATTCACCAATCACTATAAGCTGAGGACAATGTGTGTATTACTGATATTCATTTAACTTTCATATCATTTTCTTAGGCCTAGCGCTATTGTGCACTTACTATATGATAGTGTAACATCTTATTAGGCTTTGATATGCATTTGCAAGTGAAATAAGGCGATTTTCGCTTTACAGCGGGGGTCTGGTCCCTAACCCGCCGTATAAGCGGTGCCCTACTGTAATCAACACAGTAGGATAGTAAAGTGTCAGACATTTCCGCTTGACTGTGACAACTACTGTGAAATCAAGCATATTCAGTTACAAATATGAAGACTTTAGTCAATTGAAAGCCATAACTTTACACCAGTAATTAACCTTTAGGTTATAGGAAATTAATATTCCTTGCTCATCCTTGTGGTTGGAGTAAATTGACATTTAAATGCTTTAAAGTAAGGGCAGAGTGTGCTTTTTGCAATTTTTAATCGTGAATCTTCAAATAAAATTTGTACTATTGACAATGAATCAGTTTTTCCTTATAGCAAAATTTTAAAACTTTTAGACTAGCAGTTTTGTTTAATACTTTTCCCATTTTGGTTCCTAATTTTTTGTTTATTCTTTGAAGTACTGGAAAATGGTAAGTTAGAGTGGTAGCAATTTCCTAACACACTACCATAGCTTCAGAATTTTAAACGCATGAGGTGTTTTTTGTTTCTTTCAATTGAAATAATTTGTTAGGATGTTATTTTTTATTGGCTGAGGCTTTGCAAGTGTCGGTATTTTAAATATTAGGCTTTAACATTTGGTTACAGAGTCAAACAGGTCACGAATGTTTCGTCCCTGTTGCTGATATGGCTCATATGAGTAGTAACAAAAGTAATTGACAATAGAGAATTAGAAGGGGTTGAAGTATGAAGGACTGGAGAGTAACTGGTTGTCAGTTTTCTGAATCTCTGGATTACACTCTGAAAGTTTTTCTTCACATGATTCATACTTAGGGTTATTATTGAATGATAAAGAGATATACGCTCTCAGAGCCACCTGAAACTTCAGATATAAGCGATTTTTAATTAAACTTGTTACTGTATCCCGGGCAGGTGATTTTTATTTGTAATTGTTTTGTATGGGTGCGAAACATGGTCTCTCACTCAGAGGGAGGAACACAGTTTGAGAATAGGGTGTCGAAGAGGATATTTGGGCCTAGGAGAGAAGACGAAGGGACATGGAGAAAACTCCATAATGATGAGCTTAAAAATTTGTACTCCTCCCCCAGTATTGTCAGAGTGATTAAGTCAAGAAGAATGAGATGGGTGGGGCCTGTGGCGAGCATGGATGGGGCAAGATGTGTTCACCTGGTATTGGTTGGGAAGCCTGAGGGGAAGAGACCGCTGGGGAGACCTAGACGTAGATGGGAGAATAATCTCAGGTGGGATTAGGTTAATTCGGTGATGAACCTTAAGGTTCCGTAAGTCGTCTAGTTATATATAATTATCACTACATTTGCATATATGTGTGTTTCTCCTTCCCCCTTACTTCCCACCATTACTCCCCAAGTTTCCCCCCCCCCCCCCCCCCCCCCTTCTCTGTACAGTAACATCTCAGAAAATATTATTTTGTTTGTGGATGTCAAATAGTATTCATTACGATTAAATGTTGCTGTAATGGGAAAAAAAACTAAGATTTATTGTTTTTATAAAGGATATGAAATTTTGTTAAGTACATGATATATCACTCATTTATTGTGATATTTTTGAGCATAAACTGTCATTCATACAATCACACTGTTACATTGTAAACTAGAATGTCATAACATGATGGAGTCATTGACCCGATGACGGAGACAGCAAGCAACTCTGAAATGTCAGTAAATTTGTCAGATTATGTGGAAAACGACCATCTTCATACTAGGTGCTTTCAGAAAATCAAATCTCAAGTAATGTGTCATATCCTCCAATTATCAGAACATCTGTAATTATTGATCCTGTTTTCTGATTATCTAATACGAGGTGCGATCGGAAAGTTTCCAGACTGAGCCTATAAAAACCCGTACACTTATCTCAGGTATTAAATTTATCCATCACCCTCGAAGTAGTTCCCCTGGGAGTGAACACAACGATCCCAGCGCCGCTGCCAAGCCTGGAAGCATCCCTGGAAATCTTTCTTTGTCAGCCTGTCAAGCACCATCTGCGATTCTGCCTGAATCTCTTCTATCGTCTCAAATCTCCTTCTCTTTAGCTGAATTTTCATCTTTGGGAAGAGGAAGAAGTCACACGGCGAATAAGGAGGGTGCGGGATGACGGCCATGGTGTTTGAG